GAACATACAACATTCATTTACATTATTTTAACCAATTTTTAGATTCCAATTTTTTTTGTTCTAAATTTTAATTTACTTTGTAACTTAGTATTAGTACAGTAATATGTGTACATCATTTATAAATTATATTGGCAGTGCCTGCTCTAACTGTTGATGGTGTACACGACCAAAAAATGTTGGGAGATCACCGCTATAAAGGATCAGAGTCAGTAGCTTGAAAAAAAAAAACAATAAAACAACTACCACCTAGGAATGTGCCCTGTGGTAAGAGGCAGGGCTGGCGGCTGTGAGGACTCAGATGCAGTGGGAACATCTAAGGAAAGCTGGCTTACTAATGCTGCTCTGCTCCCAAAAAGTTATGATCCTCACACAGGAAACCTCTCCAAGCATTAACTTCTCATATGAGAAATTAGCTGGATGCAACGTTCACTAGATGATCCTAGCTAGGAGCCCTTCCTGTTGTAGAAATCTTACATTTCTATGACTCAGAGAATATAAGATAAAATAGCTGGTAAGTAAAAGCATTGTTTGATGCTGCTCGGAACCTCAGAGCTGAAGGCATGCCCTGATAGAGCAAAGGCAGAACAGAGAACACCACTTTCCAATCTGGGAAGATTTTACGAAATCCCATAAAATATCCTGCACCATCAGTGCTAGGATATACATATAGTTAAATGGCATATTATACACATTCAACTTTAAGTGCTCAGCAAAAAAAGAGAAGGGAAAAAATAACAATAAACAGTGCTAGCAGTCTGTCTGCCATTCTACTCAATGAGGGTGTTCAATTCCCTGGGACAGTTTCAGTTCCCCAGGCCTCTTACAGTGTGAGCCTAATGTTTGACACAGCATATTATTTATTCATTTATATCACCTAACCCCAAACCCACTGCTTTATCTGGTGTTCAAGGGAACTATCAGGGATATGTTTCAACCCTAAAGGAACAACGGGGCTGCATCTGATTTACTGAAAGATGGAAAGTCAATCTCCAAGAGTACTGACTTCCTAAGGGTACTTCCAGGCAATTTTTGACAATACAGTTCTCGAATATATTGACTGTAGAACTAAACACCCAAATAAGGTAACACTCAACTATAGCTATTCTGGCCAGGAGTTCATTCCTAAAGTTCACTCCAAAAGGTAGTGTAAATTAAAATTTGTTACCATATACTTTTACGGTACTTCATATTGATTAAAGTGCTATCATATCAACTGTGTCATTTAACATACACAACAGCCACGTAAAAGTTGACAGGACAAACACTGTGGTCCCCATTTCAGAGGTCAAATGCTGTCATAGAATGAACAAGGTTTTTAGTAAAATGAACTGGGTTCAAATCCCAGGCATACTGTTCAACTTTTCAGAACCTTAGTTTCCTTGTCAATAAAATGTAGATATGGGGCCGGCCCAGTGGCGCACTGGATAGTGCGCCACTTGGGAAGCGCAGAGGGTTCGGATCGCACATACAGACCGTTCCCGCTCACTGGCTGAGCGAGGCGCGGGAGCAACACCGAGGGTTGCGATCCCGTTGCCGGACACGGAAAAAGACAAAAAAAAAAAAAAATGTAGATAATACATACATCTCACAGCTTTTGGGGATGAGTCAAGTATCTCTAACGTATACAGTACTCAACATTTCCTTCCATCATTCCACAGGAAGCATGGCTACAAGTTCACACAGCTACTCTGACTAATGAAGCTCAAAGTAGAACATCTTTCAACTCCCAGCTCCGTGCTCAGAGGCTTAAGAGGATGTAATTCAGCATCTCTTTGAAAGGTATTCAGAAGATTACTCTGCTAACAGTTTTTTGTTCAAGTAAATTTGTGAAATGCCACTCTTTGAAAGACTCACAAAGTCGTGTGTGTGTGTGTGTGTGTGTGTGTACGTGTGTAAGATACAAAGGCTCTGAGAAGTCATGCAATAAAGAAACCTAGGTGAAAATGTTCAGACTAGCATTTCCCAAAAGTACATTTAATGGAATCTTTTTTTTTTGCATAAATACCATGAACATCCACAAAGACCTGAAAATGTTTTTAGAAACACTGGCTTTGGTAGATTCATGTGTGACAAATTATAATAAGATTAACAATTAGTATGAATAATAATAATTAATAGTAGACATTACTACAGGACAGGATACAAGAAACTACCCTTTAAACAAGATCCCTGAATCATGCTTTTACAGCCTACCTTGAATTTGCATGTAGTCTGGTGTCAAAAAAAATTTATTCAGGCTACTAAAGCATTTTTTTTCTCAGATCCCAGACTAAGTCTGCCACAAAGATTCCAACAAGTGGCTCATACTGTCATCTGGACAACACAGTGAAGGAAAAATGCAGGGGAGGCTTTTTTTTTTTATTTTTTAAGAACAAAATTGATTTATATGAGGAAGCTTGTTCCCCAAGTTAACCTTCCAAGAATGGTACATCACTACCTCGCCTGTCATTACCACTGGTCTTTTCATGATAGTGGATGAGAAAAAGCCAGATCGGAGCTAGTGAAATGTAAACTGTAAACCACAAAATGAGGAATCCTTTTTTCTTTGAAAACCAAGAAAGCATTTATTCTGTTACATCAACAAGAAAAAAGAAAGTCAACTCAACTATCAGCATGGACAATCCTGAAATTTTCTGCATAGGTCTTTGGTGTAATTAGAAATGGGAAAAACATCTAACTAGATTTCTCCAGAACCTTTGCTAAGATGTCAAGGTACTATGATTCTTCTAAAAAATTTGTAAGTGGTTGTTATATTTGGAGTCTTAAAAATGTACACCGATTTTATATTATAAGACCAAGAAAATCATTTGTACAGGTAATTTTTAAAAATAAATTAAACTAAAATAGAATGTCCAAAGCAGCCGAAGAATGAAAAAAAAAAAAAAACTCAAACAGAAATTCAAACTCAGGCTCCTCAATTTCTTGGAAGATGGGTTTAACCTACTTTGTAAACAATATCCCTTGACTCATTGTATGGAAGCATCTGTAGTTAATACTTGTGTCTGAAATGAACTCTTAAAACCTCTGGAAGTCAAACAGAGAGAAGAGGAGGCCTGAGAAATTCTTCCAAAAATTATACTAACATTTGAATATTTACTTAGTCTGGCAGACGAACTGAATACATTGTATATATGAAAGGAGCCCGCTATAATGCAAAGTTCTAAGCTTGTAAATAAGGTGTAGACAAGTACTGGTTAGCAGTGACATCCTAGGAGAAATGCTTTGGACAAGAGCTTCAAGCTTCCATCGTTTTCTAAGGAAAACAAACAGAATCTAGAAGCGTTCTAGGGCCGTCCCTGGCTCACTCGGGAGACTGTGGTGCTGACAACAACAAGCTAAGGGTTAAGATCCCCTTACCGGTCTTTTTTTTTTTTTTTTTTTTTT